ACACTGATAGAAACATGGATAGGGGTGACAAGGGATAGAGGGACAGGATATTGGGGTGACAGTGAGGATATAGAGGGACATCTGGGGTACACCGATAGAAACATATAGATATTGGGGTGACAGTGAGGGTGGGGTATACCGATAGGGACATATGGATATTGTGGGGTACATATAGAATCTGGGGTACAACCGATAGAAACATATTGGGGTGACAGTGAGGATATAGAGGGACAGCTGGGGTACACTGATAGAAACATATAGATATTGGGGTGACAGTGAGGATATAGAGGGACATCTGGGGTACACCGATAGAAACATATAGATATTGGGGTGACAGTGAGGATATAGAGGGAGAGCTGGGGTACACTGATAGGAAATATAGATATTGGGGTGACAGTGAGGATATAGAGGGACAGCTGGGGTACACCGATAGAAACATATAGATATTGGGGTGACAGGGAGGATATAGAGGGACAGCTGATGTACACTGATAGAATATATAGATATTGGGGTGACAGGGAGGATATAGAGGGACAGCTGATGTACACTGATAGGAATATAGAGATATTGGGGGTTAAACAGTGGGGGCCTAGGGGGCAGCTGGGGTACATTGCAAGTAATGTAAGAGACATTGGGGTGTTAGTGGGAGGATAGCGAGGCAACTGGGGTACAATGATAGAAATAGATATTGGGGTAACAGTGGGGGGATGGGGGACAGTTGGAATTTACTGATAAGAGTATACAGATATTGGGGTGTCAGCAGGGGTACATTTATAGGCATATGCAGATATTGGGGTGACAGTGAGGATAGAAGGACAGGTGGGGTACACTGATAGAAACATACAGATATTGGGGTGTCAGTGGGGGGATGGGGGACAGCTGGGATACACTGATAGGAATATACAGATATTGGGGTCAGTGGGGGGATGGGGGGGACAGCTGGGGTACACTGATAGGAATATACAGATATTGGGGTGTCAGTGGGGGGGATGGGGGACAGCTGGGGTACACATGATAGGAATATACAGATATTGGGGTGTCAGTGGGGGGATGGGGGACAGCTGGGGTACACTGATAGGAAAATATACAGATATTGGGGTTTCAGTGGGGGGGATGGGGGACAGCTGGGGTACACTGATAGGAATATACAGATATTAGGGTGTTCAGTGGGGGGGATGGGGGACAGCTGGGGTACACTGATAGGAATATACAGATATTGGGGTGTCACAGTGGGGGCATACGGGGCAGCGGAATATACAGATACTCCAACGTGCTGCCCTGCTGGCATCAGGTAGTTATGGGAATACACCATGGAGTTCGGCCTGCGCTCAGCTCTCTATGGTGTCACCCCCCCCTGCGCTCAGCTCTCTATGGTGGTCACCGCCCCCCTGCGCTCAGCTCTCTATGGTGTCACCCTGCCTACGCTTCAGTTTACTATGGTGTCACCCCCCTGCGCCCAGCTCTCTATGGTGTCACCCCCCCCTGCGCTCAGCTCTCTATGGTGTCACCCCCCCTGCGCTCAGCTTCTCTATGGTGTCACCCCCCCCTGCGCTCAGCTCTCTATGGTGTCACCCCCCTGCGCTCAGCTCTCTATGGTGTCACCCCCCTGCGCTCAGCTCTCTATGGTGTCCCCCCCCCCTGCGCTCAGCTCTCTATGGTGTCACCCCCCCTGCGCTCAGCTCTCTATGGTGTCACCCCCCCTGCGCTCAGCTCTCTATGGTGTCACCCCCCCCTGCGCCCAGCTCTCTATGGTGTCACCCCCCCCCTGCGCTCCAGCTCTCTATGGTGTCACCCCCCCCCCTGCGCTCAGCTCTCTATGGTGTCACCCCCCCCTGCGCCCAGCGCTCTCTATGGTGTCACCCCCCCCCTGCGCTCAGCTCTCTATGGTGTCACCCCCCCTGCGCTCAGCTCTCTATGGTGTCACCCCCCCTGCGCTCAGCTCTCTATGGTGTCACCCCCCCCTGCGCTCAGCTCTCTATGGTGTCACCCCCCCTGCGCTCAGCTCTCTATGGTGTCACCCCCCCTGCGCTCAGCTCTCTATGGTGTCACCCCCCTGCGCTCAGCTCTCTATGGTGTCACCCCCCCTGCGCTCAGCTCTCTATGGTGTCACCCCCCCTGCGCTCAGCTCTCTATGGTGTCACCCCCCCTGCGCTCAGCTCTCTATGGTGTCACCCCCCCTGCGCTCAGCTCTCTATGGTGTCACCCCCCCCCCTCTGCGCTCAGCTCTCTATGGTGTCACCCCCCACCCCCCCTGCGCTCAGCTCTCTATGGTGTCACCCCCCTGCGCTCAGATCTCTCTCTATGGTGTCACCCCCCCTGCGCTCAGCTCTCTATGGTGTCACCCCCCTGCGCCCAGCTCTCTATGGTGTCACCCCCCTGCGCTCAGCTCTCTATGGTGTCACCCCCCCCTGCGCTCAGCTCTCTATGGTGTCACCCCGCCTGCCCCAGCCTATGCGTCCCCCGCCTGCGCTCTATGGTGTCACCCCGCCTGCGCGCCAGCGCTCTATGGTGTCACCCCCCCCTGCGCTCAGCTCTCTATGGTGTCACCCCCGCCTGCGCTCAGCTCTCTATGGTGTCACCCCCCCCCCCCCTGCCTGCCCAGCGCTCTATGGTGTCACCCCCCTGCGCTCAGCTCTCTATGGTGTCACCCCCCCTGCGCCCAGCTCTCTATGGTGTCACCCCCCGCCTGCGCTCAGCTCTCTATGGTGTCACCCCCCCTGGGCTCAGCTCTCTATGGTGTCACCCCTCCGCCTGCGCTCAGCTCTCTATGGTGTCACCCCCCCTGCGCTCAGCTCTCTATGGTGTCACCCCCCCCCTGCGCTCAGCTCTCTATGGTGTCCCCCCCCCCCCCTGCGCTCAGCTCTCTATGGTGTCACCCCCCCCTGCGCCCAGCTCTCTATGGTGTCACCACACCCCCCTGCGCCCAGCGCTCTATGGTGTCACCCCCCCTGCGCTCAGCTCTCTATGGTGTCACCCCCCCTGAGCGCTCTATGGTGTCACCCCCCTGCGCTCAGCTCTCTATGGTGTCACCCCCCCTGCGCTCAGCTCTCTATGGTGTCACCCCCCCCCCCCTGCGCTCAGCTCTCTATGGTGTCACCCCCCCTGCGCTCAGCTCTCTATGGTGTCACCCCCCCTGCGCTCAGCTCTCTATGGTGTCACCCCCCCTGCGCTCAGCTCTCTATGGTGTCACCCCCCCTGCGCTCAGCTCTCTATGGTGTCACCCCCCCTGCGCTCAGCTCTCTATGGTGTCACCCCCCCTGCGCTCAGCTCTCTATGGTGTCACCCCCCCCCGCGCTCAGCTCTCTATGGTGTCACCCCCCCTGCGCTCAGCTCTCTATGGTGTCACCCCCCCCGCGCTCAGCTCTCTATGGTGTCACCCCCCCTGCGCTCAGCTCTCTATGGTGTCACCCACCCCGGCGCTCAGCTCTCTATGGTGTCACCCCCCCTGCGCTCAGCTCTCTATGGTGTCACCCCCCGCTGCCTGTCCAAGGAGAAGAGCAGAGGGACCTGCAGCAGTTCACTTCATCTAAAATGTAACATATCAATGCCAAGTTTTGCGGCATTTGTATCAATGTCACAATGTAACGTTCCATTCCTGCGCCCAGACGTGACATGTGGTGTGCACAGCTACTGACTCCATGCAGATCCCTCGTAGATTTATCCACAAGGAGCAATGATGGGTGTGATTTCCACTGCTGACTACTCAGCAGGAATAAGGGGAATGATTTCTCCTGGATGGAGCCCGAGCTGCCCGACTACCAGTCCCGGCCTGAAGGGAAATCTTCAGATAAATGTGGATGGAAATTGGGGGGTCCTACAGGCTGTATATAAATATTGGGGATCTATTAGAGTCACGTTGGGGGTTCAAATATGGTGTATCAGATATTGGGGTGTCAGTAGGTTAGGATCATGTTAGGGTACATCTGGGGTACTGATAGGAGTATACAGAGATTGGGGTGTCAGTGGGGGGATGGGGGCACATTTGGGGTACACTAATATGTATTGGGGGTTAATGGGGGATGGGGGCACATTTGAGGTACACTGGTATATAATGGGTTGTCAGTGGGGAATGGGGGCACAGTTGGGGTACACTGATATATTTTGGGTGTCAGTGGGGGGGGTGGGGGATCAGTTGGGGTACACTGATATATTTTGAGGTGTCAGTGGGGGATGGGGGCACAGTTGGGGTACAATGATATATTTTGGGGTGTCAGTGGGGGATAGGGGCACAGTTGGGGTACAATGATATATTTTGGGTGTCAGTGGGGGGATGGGGGCTCAGTTGGGGTACAATGATATATTTTGGGGTGTCAGTGGGGGATGGGGGCACAGTTGGGTACAATGATATATTTTGGGGTGTCAGTGGGGGGATGGGGGCTCAGTTGGGGTACAATGATATATTTTGGGGTGTCAGTGGGGGATGGGGGCTCAGTTGGGGTACAATGATATATTTTGGGGTGTCAGTGGGGGGGGTGGGGGACTCAGTTGGGTACACTGATATATTTTGGGGTGTCAGTGGGGGGGGGGCTCAGTTGGGGTACAATGATATATTTTGGGGTGTCAGTGGGGGATGGGGGCACAGTTGGGGTACAATGATATATTTTGGGGTGTCAGTGGGGGATGGGGGCACAGTTGGGGTACAATGATATATTTTGGGGTGTCAGTGGGGATGAGGGCACAGTTGGGGTACAATGATATAGTGGGGGATTTGGGGTACAATGGGGGGTGTCCGTGATGTCTTCTAATTTGGAACTGCGCAGAGAGCTCCGCCCCCAATACTCCATAGTCCAATCAAATCTCGCTGTCCGGATAGAGCTGTCACCCGCCGCACCGAGAGAGGAAGGGACCCGATCACCGGGCATATTACCGGGCACCCAGCACAGCACCGGGCATAGAACCGGGCACAGCATACCTCAGGGAGGACACAATACCGGGCACAGCAGCGGGCACATATCATCCCCGGCGGGCGGACAGAGGAGATCGGGGGGGAGAGATCCGGGATGGCACCGCTCAGAGTCTCCATCATCGGATCCGGGAGCTGGTAAGACCCGCAAATGTCACCCCGATACTATCACCCCCCTACACCCCAAATATCACCTCAATACTATCACCCCCCTACACCCCAAATATCACCTCAATACTATCACCCCCCTACACCCCAAATATATCACCTCAATACTATCACCCCCCTACACCCCAAATATCACCTCAATACTATCACCCCCCTACACCCCAAATATCACCCCCTCCTGATACTATCACCCCCCTACACCCCAAATATCACCTCAATACTATCACCCCCCCTACACCCCAAATATCATCACCCTGATACTATCACCCCCCTACACCCCAAATATCACCACCCTGATACTATCACCCCCCTACACCCCAAATATCATCACCCAATACTATCACCCCCCTACACCCCAAATATCACCCCTTCCTGATACTATCACCCCCCTACACCCCAAATATCACCTCAATACTATCACCCCCCTACACCCCAAATATCACCTCAATACTATCACCCCCCTACACCCCAAATATCACCTCAATACTATCACCCCCCTACACCCCAAATATCACCCCTCAAATACTATCACCCCCCTACACCCCAAATATCACCCCCCTCCTGATACTATCACCCCCCTACACCCCAAATATCACCAATACTATCACCCCCCTACACACCCCCCAAATACACCCCAAATATATTACAAATATCCCCCCCCATACTATCACCCCTACACCCCAAAATATCACCAATACTGTCACCCCCCTACACCCTAAATATCACTGTTACCCCAATGCTATCACCCTGTACCCCCCAGATATGGCCGCCCTGTATTGGGGACCCCCTATTTTGCTGTGGGTGGAGTCGGGGGGTGGAGCCATCAGCTGACGTTTTTCTGTTCAGTTGGGGAGATTTTTCTTTCTTTCCTGTCCCAGAGACAGCGCAGGATGTGGGGGGGGGGGAGGGACTCCGGGACTCCCGGCGTCCCCATTGGAAGATTTCTTCTCACTTCCTGTTCTGGTGACAACTGTTCAGATCAGGTTTTGTCTCAGTGACACCTGGAGGGGGATCTCCCCAGCGGGGACACAGTAAAATCTGGACAGAGGGTCTGATCCTCCACCCGGAACCACAAAGGGAAGGTTCACCCAGAATGATCGGATTGGGGATTGTGGGCGGAGCTCTTGTCTGACAGTCTCCTAATATTCCTGTGACCTAGTTTATAGGTCATCCACCTATCTGACCCCATAACTACGGGTAGGTGATACCCCCCCAACCTGGGCACTAGAGGGGCACGAGTGCTTTGGGAGGAGTTCCTTTTTTTGGGGGGAGGGGCCTCTTAAAGCACCCCCTCCATAGACGAAGGAAACATGAACTGAGAGAAGACCTGTGTGTGAGTCGGCACTGTGAGGAGCACTGACACCACTTTCCCCAATACAGCTAGATATATAAATCATAATAATGGCAGTGATATCTGTATGGGCCCCACTGGGAAGGGAGGGGCCAAGGAAGGGAGGGGCAGGGTTAGGGAAGGATTAGGGAGGGGTTGGAGATAGGGATAGGGAGGGAAGGGATTAGGGAGGGGTTGGGGAAGGGTTAGGGAAGGGTTAGGGAGGGTTCAGGCAGGGTTAGGGAGGGGTGAGGGAAGGGTTAGGGAGGGGTCAGGGCAGGGTTAGGGTTAGGGAGGGATTAGGGAGGGGTCAGGGCAGGGTTAGGGAGGGGTCAGGGAAGGGTCAGGGCAGGGTTAGGGAGGGTTGGGGAAGGGTTAGGGAGGGATTAGGGAGGGGTTAGGGCAGGGTTAGGGAGGGGCCAGGAAGGGGTCAGGGAGGGATTAGGGAGGGGTCAGGGCAGGGACTAGGAAGGGTCAGGGAGGGGTTAGGGAGGGGTCAGGGCAGGGATAGGGCAGGGTTAGGGAGGGGTCAGGGAGAGGTTAGGGTGGGTCAGGGCGGAGTTAGGGCGGGGTCAGGAAGGGGTTAAATATGAAGTTTCATCTGCTTAGATTTCATCTTCCCTGCCCCCCCCCCATTTTGAAATCTGCTGTCTGCGCCCCCACAGCACCGAGCGGGACCCGGCTGTCTGGACCCAATCAGATTTCCCCATTGGGTAGAAGGAACTGTGTGTGGTATCCGTGTGCTGCCTATAGAGGGGGCCCTGGGTGTGATCACCCCAGAGGGGCCCGATATTCCGGCATACACAATGGTGGAGGGCAGTGCCAGGTGGGGCCAGATTTTGAGCTCAGGGGGTCCAGGGCACTTCAGGCTCAGGGGGGCCCTAATATACAGAGCTGGTTTACATTCCTAGTGACAGCCACAAATTTCCACAGCGCCATTCTGAGGTCACACGCCGTCACCGCGCATAATGTGCGATTCACTCCAACCGACAAAATGTGGTTTTAAAAATGATACAATATAACCGACCAGAGGATGGCCGCCAAATATTCCTCCCAAGATACATTCAATAAAAGAAAGTCATTTTATTATTATGTATTTTTTTATTGTTTTATATTATTTAAATTTTTTTTATTGTTTCATTAATTTTTTAATATTATTTTATTATTATTTATTTTCTATTATTTAATGTATTTTTTGTTACATTGTTTTATATTATTTTATTTTTTATTATTTCATTTATTTATTTTGTTTACATTGATTTTATAATATTTTTATTATTATTTATTTTATATAATGTAATTATTTTTCTTTGTTTAATATTATATTATTATTATTATTATTTATTTTCTATTATTTAATGTATTTTTTGTTACATTGTTTTATATTATTTTATTTTTTATTATTTCATTTATTTATTTTGTTTACATTGTTTTTATAATATTTTTATTATTATTTATTTTATATAATGTAATTATTTTTCTTTGTTTAATATTATATTTTATTATTTATTTATTTTCTATTATTTAATGTATTTTTTGTTACATTGTTTTATATTATTTATGACTTTTTTTATTATTTAATTATTTTTTTAAATATTATTTTTTGTATGTGGGGGGGCCCTTCTGTCAGGGGGACCACGTCAGTTGCCCTTTTGCCCCCTTATCAATATGGCTCCCAGGCCACACCTCTTTAGAAGTCGGAATCGCACCGACAGGACCGCTGTGATTGCGGATAATAGGGTGCGACTTATCATGTGATTTGCAAGTCGCATGGCATGGTGAACCGCATGGCAAGTCGCAGTGTGGTCGGGGTGTATGTGCCCGGTCATACCGGTGTGATTTCAGGTGCGACTTGCTAATTGAAATCGCATCCAACACCGTGGTCACCCCGATCCCGCGCACGATTTCAAATTCGGATGACGTGCCGATTTCAGGTGCGATTTGTAAAACATCAGATCTGTATGTAAGTTGCACCGGAAGTCACGCATTCACTACTATAGAGATCGCTGCGACTCCGACCGAGTCAGAATCTCACCGATAGGACCGCTGTAGCTGCGAGCAACAGGGTGCGACTTGTCATGTGATTTGCAAATCGCATGGCATGGCAAGTCGCAGCCGGTGTGACCGGCCTGTAAGTGTGCGGTCATACTGGTGCGGTTTGCTCATTGAAATCGCATCGAATGCAGGTGAATGTCGGTGTCTTATCATGTGCGGTTTGCTGCAGCGACTTTGAAATTGTGCGACTTTACTGGAGGTCACATGATCTCAAAGCCGGCTGGGTGTGACCGTGGTGTCGGCGTCCTAACATGTGCGATTTTGCTGCGACGCGATTTCTAAAGTCGTTCTGGCGTGACTTTTTCTGCCGTTTTGTTGCGATTTTACAGACATAATAGAATGGAAATCGCTCCGCAAATTGCAAGAAATCATTGAAACACTTCACAAGTCGCACTCAAATTGCGCACAAATCGCAGCGGTGTGGTCGGTGACTTTAGAAATGTCGCTGCAGCAAATCGCAGGTTAAGACGCTGACATTCATTGGATGCGACGTCCATCTCCCGCATCGCACCTGAAATCGCAGCGGTGTGACCGATGACCTGCATGTCATTTTGCAGCAGCTGGAAGGCGTAGAGGAATGCGGCGCCACGCATGTAGCTGCGATTCGTTGGTGGGGGGCGTAGAGGAATGCGGCACCCTGTGTGTAGCTGCGATTCGGTGTTGGGGGGGTAGAGGAATGCGGTGCCACGCATGTAGCTGCGATTCGGTGGTGGGGGGGGGTAGAGGAATGCGGCGCCCCCTGTGTAGCTGCGATTTGGAGGGGGGGGAGTAGAGGAATGCGGCCCCGCGTGTAGTTGCGATTTGGTGGTGGGGTGGGAGAGGAATGCGGCACCCCGCGTGTAGTTGCGATTTGGTGGTGGGGTGGTAGAGGAATGCGGTGCCACTGCGTGTAGCTGCGATTCGGTGGTGGGGGGGGTAGAGGAATGCGGCGCCCCCTGTTTAACTTTGATTCGGAGGGGGGGGCGTAGAGGAATGCGGCGCCCCCTATGTAGCTGCGATTTGGAGGGGGGGGAGTAGAGGAATGCGGCACCCCGCGTGTAGTTGCGATTTGGTGGGGGGGTAGAGGAATGCGGCAGCCCGCGTGTAGCTGCGATTCGGAGGGGGGGCGTAGAGGAATGCGGCAGACTGCGTGTAGCTGCGATTCGGTGGTGGTGGGGGGTAGAGGAATGCGGTGCCACGCATGTAGCTGCGATTCGGTGGTGGGGGGGTAGAGAAATGCGGCAGACTGCGTGTAGCTGCGATTCGGTGGTGGTGGGGGGGGGGGTAGAGGAATGCGGCGCCCCCTGTTTAGCTTCGATTCGGAGGGGGCGTAGAGGGAATGCGGCAGACCGCGTGTAGCTGCGATTCGGTGGTGGTGGGGGGGTAGAGGAATGCGGCGCCCCCTGTTTACCTTCGATTCGGAGGGGGGGGGGGGCGTAGAGGAATGCGGCGCCCCCCCGTGTAGCTGCGATTCGGAGGGGGGGGGGCGTAGTGGAATGCGGCGCCCCCCTGTAGCTGCGATTCGGTGGGGGGGGGTTTGTCGCTGGCGCAGGTTTCCATGCTGCAGCCGGTCGCCCCTCTAATCGCCCCTCTCGGGGGGTCGCTGTGTTGCAGGGGATCCGCCGTCTCCATCATCATCGGGAATAACACGAAGAGATCGAACCGCTTCCATCCCCCGGTGACCATGTGGCTGTACGAGGAGATCATTGATGGGCGTCGGCTCTCTGACATCATCAACCAGGAACACGAGAACGTCAAGTACCTCCCCCGCCACCGACTCCCCCGCAACGTGGTGAGCGCCTCCGAGGACTGCAGGCGGCTGATTGGCCAATCGGGAGTTCCCGCACTCTGTGTGATGAAAGTGTCAGTGTGCCTCCCAGACACCCCCGATATCCATGTACTTCCTGTGCCTAGGCACTCCTGTTATCAGTATACGTCCTGTCCCTAGTCCCTCCTGATAGTGTACTTCCTGTGCCTAGGCACTCCTGTATCAGTGTACGTCCTGTCCCTAGTCACTCCTGATAGTGTACTTCCTGTCCCAAGGCACTATAGTGCACTCCTGTGCCTAGGCACTCCTGGTATCAGTGTACTTCCTGTCCTAGGCACCCCCCGATATCCATGTACTTCCTGTCCCTAGGCACCCCTGATATCAGTGTACATCTTGTCCCTAGGCACTCCTGGTATCAGTGTACTCTCCTGTGCCTAGGCACCCCCCGATCCATGTACTTCCTGTGGCAGGCACCCCTGATATCAGTGTACTTCCTGTCCCTAGGCACTCCTGGTATCAGTGTACTTCCTGTCCCTAGGCACTCCGGATATCAGAGTACTTCCTGTGCCTAGGCAATCCTGATAGTGTACTTCCTGTCCCTAGGCACTCCTGTTATCAGTGTACTTTCTGTGGCTAGGCACTCCTGATAGTATACTTCCTGTGCCTAGGCAATCTGATAGTGTACTTCTTGTCCCAAGGCACTCCTGATAGTGTGCTCCTGTCCCAAGGCACTCCTGATATCAATGTACTTCCTGTCCTAGGCACTCCTGATAGTGTACTTCCTGTCCCTAGGCACTCCTGATTGTGTACTTCCTGTCCCAGGCACTCCTGATAGTGTACTTCCTGTCCCAAGGCACTCCTGATACCAATGTACTTCCTGTCCTAGGCACTCCTGGTAGTGTACTTCCTGTCCCTAGGCACTCCTGTTAGTGTACTTCCTGTCCCTAGGCACTCCTGATAGTGTACTTCCTGTCTCTAGGCACTCCGGATAGTGTACTTCCTGTTCCTAGGCACTGCGGACAGTGTACTTCCTGTTCCTAGGCACTCCTGATAGTGTTCTTCCTGTGCCTAGGCACTCCTGGTATGATTGTGCCCTGTTCTTCCCCAGGTGGCGGTGCCGGAGTTGTTGGACGCGGTGTCGGGGGCGGACATCTTGGTGTTTGTGGTGCCCCATCAGTTCATCGGCTCTGTCTGCGACCGGCTGGTTGGACACCTGAAATGTGGAGCTTTCGGCATCTCCCTGATCAAGGTGACAATGACTCCGCCCCCCTCCCCTCCTGGACCCCAATATTGTCACAGAATTGAGCCCATTGTCACCGACAACTTCCGTCCCTGCCGACAACTGAGAACCAATCAGAGCGGCCGATCATAGAATCATTCTATTCATACTGGAGGCTTCACTCGATCCCTCAGGCCTGCAGGTGGCACCGTAGCCAGAAGGTGGCGCTGCGGGTCGGATTCATACTGGAATTGTCCGATACAATTACAGGATTGAAACAATCGAATAAAAGCCGGATATCCCCTTAAAATACGTTCGGTGTCACATATGGAGGGTGCGGAATTCCAGATCTGGTCACAAAAGGGTTAAACAGCCACGCCCCCAAACCCCCCCCCCGTATTATACTTCCATGCAGCCCCATGGGGACAGTATGGGGTTTTCCTGCCCAGGTCGGGGCCCACAGGATTGCCAATCAGCAGGCTGGTTCATTACCAAATCATCCTCAGCTCCTCCCACCTCCGTCCTCCTCCTCTCACAGATGTACATCGTATGTTCACGCCCCCAACCGATCGGCCTATCAGGAGCACAGGCTGAACATTTCTATATAGGGGCCCCTCACATGTGATGGGGGTAGAGGATGACTCGGGGGGGGGCCGTTTGTGCAGCTCATTTGGGTACACAGGATGGGGTGGTGAGGGCCCCTAAAACAAGGGTGCCCATAGGTAGGGGCCCGGTGTGTCTAATATTAGGTCTTCTCCCCCCCTCTGCAGGGAGTGGATCAGGGGCCCAACGGACTGAAGCTGATCTCCGATGTGATCCGGGAGAAGCTCGGCATACAGGTCAGCGTTCTGATGGGGGCCAATATCGCCAGCGAGGTGGCCGAGGGCAAGTTCTGTGAGACCACCATAGGTGAGCCGCTTCATTGGCTGTAATTGTGTATCTGCTGGGGCTGGATTGGTCGGCCACTTTGTGCGCTCTGTCTAGGCCCGCCCTTTATTTTGTAGGTGGTTGCCCAGGGATGGGTTCAGGGCAGCCATCGGAAATTTGTGGGCCCTACAAAGCTTTAGGCCTGGGCCCCCCCTGGGCCTGACTACGAACATTCCATAGAGCCCGCCCACGGGCCATCCCACCAAATCCACCCACTAGCCATCCAATGTCCTCCACCTTCTCCATCCCATGTCCTCCTCCATTCCACATCCCCCTACAGTTCCACCTCCTTCATCCTATATCCTCCTTCTCCAGTCCCATTTACTCCATCCCATGTCCTACTCCTCCTCCTCCAGTCCCACGTCCTCCTCCTCCAGTCCCATCTCTTACATCCCACGTCCTCCTCCTCCAGTCCCATCTCTTACATCCCACGTCCTCCTCCTCCAGTCCCATCTCTTACATCCCACGTCCTCCTCCTCCAGTCCCATCTCTTACATCCCACGTCCTCCTCCTCCAGTCCCATCTCTTACATCCCACGTCCTCCTCCTCCAGTCCCATCTCTTACATCCCACGTCCTCCTCCTCCAGTCCCATATCCCACGTCCTCCTCCTCCAGTCCCATCTCTTACATCCCACCTCCTCCTCCAGTCCCATCTCTTACATCCCACGTCCTCCTCCTCCAGTCCCATCTCCTACATCCCACAGTCCTCCTCCTCCAGTCCCCATCTCCTACATCCCACGTCCTCCTCCTCCAGTCCCATCTCTTACATCCCACGTCCTCCTCCCATGTCTCTTACATCCCACGTCCTCCTCCTCCAGTCCCATCTCTTACATCCCACGTCCTCCTCCTCCAGTCCTCCATCTCTTACATCCCACGTCCTCCTCCTTCAGTCCCATCTCTTACATCCCACATCCTCCTCCAATCCCCATCTCTTACATCCCACGTCCTCCTCCTCCTCCAGTCCCATCTCTCCATCCCGCACCTCCTCCTCCAGTCTCCCCATCCCAGCATTCCATCCTCCATCTTCTCCATCCCACGTCCTCCTCCTCCTCCAGTCCCATCTCTTACATCCCACGTCCTCCTCTCCAGTCCCATCTCCTACATCCCATCCTCCTCCAGTCCCATCCTCCTACATCCCACGTCCTCATCCCATCTTACATCCCACCTCCTCCTCCAGTCCCATCTCCTACATCTCACGTCCTCCTCCAGTCCCATCTCTTACATCCCACGTCCTCCTCCTCAGTCCCATCTCTTACATCCCACGTCCTCCTCCTCCAGTCCCATCTCTTACATCCCACGTCCTCCTCCTCCAGTCCCATCTCCTACATCCCACGTCCTCCTCCTCCAGTCCCATCTCTCTTACATCCCACGTCCTCCTCCTCCAGTCCCATCTCTTACATCCCACGTCCTCCTCCTTCAGTCCCATCTCTTACATCCCACGTCTCCTCCAATCCCATCTCTTACATCCCACGTCCTCCTCCTCCTCCAGTCCCATATTCTCCATCCCGCATCCTCCTCCTCCAGTCCCATCTTCTCCATCCCACGTCCTCCTCCTCCTTCAGTCCCATCTCTTACATCCCATGTCCTCCTCCAGTCCCATACATCCCATGTCCTCCTCCAGTCCATCAGTCCCATCCTCCATCCCATTCTCCTCCTCCAGTCCCATCCATCTTACATCCCATGTCTCCTCCATCCCATGTCCTCCTCCTTCCAACCCGTGTCCTCTATCCCATGTCCTCCATCCCCCTCTGGCCCCACTGAGATTTCCCCCAACTTCCTGTCTTGGTGACACCAAGACAGGAAGTGAAGGGAACCTCAGTGGAGCAATGGCTTCTATCTATAGACCTTCACTTGTCCATGGACTGGAAGGAGATATCAGTACATGGCTCCTCGGTCTGAGCCCCCCCCCCCCCCCAGAGGTGCCCCCATCTGCCCTTTACCTGAGGATGAGGATGGTGGTCAGCAGAAGTCCACACAGGACCAGCAGCCTCCTCTCACAAAAGCAGCACTGAATGGGCAGTTTGTTTATGTGGTTTGAGCTGTCAGGTGTAAACCCTCCATATCCCTGGTGCAGTGACCGGCGTCGGGTGACACACAGAGATGACACAGATCCTCCTACATATGTTGTACCTGGTTATCTGCAGCCTTATCTCCTTCACAGCTGTTCAAAGTGCTAAATTTATACAGCTTGTCTGAGAGTTCAGTAAGCAGGGGGGCAGTGGAGCTAAAGTAAAGATTGTAGAGCTCAGTGAGGAGAGCTCTGAGAGCTGATTGGAGAGAACAGACACACCCCCTTACCACACAGCAACAGAGCTGAGGCTGTCAACTGCGGGCCGTGTGCTGGGTGCTCCTCCCCGTCACCATTTATCTGTCGGTGTCAGTATAACCTGTCAGAAGTGACGGATGCTGATAGCAGAGGAAGGAGGCTGCAGATAGAAATGACACTCAGTGCTCTGGACCAGGGGCGGACTGACAGCTCATGGGGCCCCCGGGCAATAGGGGATCATGGGGGGCCCTTGTGTCCTTGCCCAAACTCAAAAAATCCTATGAAAAAGGTACCAGGGGCATCTCATGTGGCCCCCTACTGACCCCAGGCCCTCGGGCAGTGCCCGAGTTTCCAAATGGTCAGTCCGCCCCTGCTCTGGACTGAGACAAGGACACACTATGGAGGGATGTGCTTTGTTCATATTTCATGTCTGAGGTTTACATCCACTTTATCCCGGGTTCACACCAGTGCGGGAAACTCTGCGAATCCTGCGTTTTCCCGCACCACAATCTCATCACATTCATGTGATCTGGTGCGGGTGTCAATGATAATTTAATGACACCCCAGAACAGATCGCAAAACGCGATGCGATTGTCCGAAATCTCATGGGTGAGAACGATTCAGATTTCAAAAAAGGATCCTGCAGTCTGGAGGAGGACCAGAGGAGGGCTGGAGTCAGCTGCTAGAGTCTGCTGAGACCAGGGGAGGCGGAGATGAGGGGGTGCTGTGGCTGCACAGAGAGGTGCAGGATCTGTAGGAGTTCTGTCCTCTTCCTGCTTCCGGGAAGAGGCTGGGAAGCAGAAAGTGCAGAGTCTGGAGGAGGATCCAAGGAGCGCTGGAGTCAGCTGCCAGAGTCTCTTGAGACCAGGGGAAGTGGAGATGATGGGGGTGTTACAGCTGGGGTGGATAGGAGAGCTGCAAAACATGGAGACAGGTTCAGAGATCAGGATCTGTAGATTTTCTGTCCTCCTCTCTGCTGCCAACTACGGAGACAAGGTCGGGGGCAGAAACAAGGGGGGTGCTGTGGCTGCACAGAGAGGTGCAGGATCTGTAGGAGAAATTCTGTTCTCCTCTCTGCTGCCAACTACGGAGACAAGGTGGGGGCAGAGACAAGGGGGTTGCTGTGGCTGCACAGAGAGGCGCAGGATCTGTAGGAGAAATTCTGTTCTCCTCTCTGCTGCCAACTACGGAGACAAGGTGGGGGGGCAGAGAGAAGGGGGGTGCTGTGGCTGCACAGAGAGGTGCAGGATCTGTAGGAGAAATTCTGTCCTCCTCTCTGCTGCCAACTATGGAGACAAGGTGGGGGGCAGAGACAAGGGGGGTGCTGTGGCTGCACAGAGAGGTGCAGGATCTGTAGGAGAACTTCTGTCCTCCTCTCTGCTGCCAACTATATGAGACAAGGTGGGGGCAGAGACAAGGGGGGGGTGCTGTGGTTGCATTAGAGGGTGCAGGATCTGTAGGAGAAATTCTGTCCTCCTCTCTGCTGCCAACTATGGAGTCAAGGTGGGGGGCAGAGACAAGGGGGTGCTGTGGCTGCACAGAGAGGTGCAGGATCTGTAGGAGGAATCCATCCTCCTCTCTGTTGCTAGGAAGAGGCTGGTGGCACAGCTGGGCAGCAGAAAGTTCAGGGTTTGGAGGAGGACCAGAGGACGGTTGGAGGCTGCTGGAGTCTGCTGACTGCTGAGACCAGGGGAAGTTGAGACAAGAGGGTGAGGAGCAGGATCTGTAGGAGGAGTTCTGACCTCCTTTATGCCGCTGACTGCTAAGACAAGGTGGGGGCGTAGAGAAGGGGATGCCACAGCTTTAGGAGGGTGCAAGGGTCACATAAAATGGTCTGGCGGGCCACATTCAGCCAACAGGCCTTGTGTTTGACACGTGTCCTAGAGGGACATGAAGAGAATGTTACACCCCGGTATCACAGAATAAACGATTGTACAATCTGAATTGGTGTGTATGGCTTGGCCCCGGCACAGCTAAAGCAGATGGGTGTGAAGAAAATAATAATGGGGGGCATTGAATGTACCGCACCCCCATGAACTGCCTGCTGGGCACACAGGGACCTGTAGCCAGAGTAATTCACAATTCGTAGATGTTGGGGCTCCGTGCCTCCTCCGACTCGGGATCCCCGGGGCCCCATCATCACACACCCCCGGGGTGTCAGAGAGTTCTCACCTTCCCTCCGGTGTCTCTGCAGGGTGTAAGAATCCCCAACATGGACAGATCTTCAAAGAACTGATGCAGACGCCGAACTTTCGGGTCACGGTGGTGGAGGACTGCGACACGGTGGAGATCTGCGGAGCCCTCAAGGTGAACATTTCTCCGGAAATCTGTCTGATGCTCCGCCCCTTCTGTGTTGTCACCTTAAAGTGGGTGTCACCCCAAAATGTCTTTCTTTTTTATTGAATGGCGAGGGAAAAGGTCAGAACCCTGAAGACCCGGAATTGTCTGTGGCGTCTTGTTTACAAGTTTAACTCAGTATTTTGTGTTAGAAAATTACTTATAACCACAAAACATTATTTATATAAATATCTCTATCTCTGTATATATATATATATGTGTGTGCCGAAAGGAAGTGACGCCATGAAGGGGAGGAGCCAGTACACCTGTGCAAGACTGGAAGGGAGGAGCCGGTACACCTGTGCAAGACTGGAAGGGAGGAGCCGGTACACCTGTGCAAGACTGGAAGGGAGGAGCCGATACACCTGTGCAAGACTGAAGGGGAGGAGCCATTACACCTGTGCAAGACTGGAAGGGAGGAGCCGGTACACCTGTGCAAGACTGGAAGGCAGGAGCCGATACACCTGTGCAAGGATGAAGGGGAGGAGCCGGTACACCTGTGCAAGACAGATGGGGAGGAGCCGGTACACCTGTGCAAGACAGATGGGGAGGAGCCGGTACACCTGTGCAAGACTGAAGGGGAGGAGCCGGTACACCTGTGCAAGACTGAAGGGGAGGAGCTGCTACACCTGTGCAAGACTGAAGGGGAGGAGCCGGTACACCTGTGCAAGACTGAAGGGGAAGAGCCAGTACACCTGTGCAAGACTGAAGGGGAGGAGCTGCTACACCTGTGCAAAACTGAAGGGGAGGAGCTAGCACACCTGTGCAAGACTGAAGGGGAGGAGCTGGCACACCTGTGCAAGGCTGAAGGGGAGGAGCCGGTACACCTGTGCAAGACTGAAGGGGAGGAACTGGTACACCTGTGCAAAACTGAAGGGGAGGAGCAGATACACCTGTGCAAGACTGAAGGGGAGGAGCCGGTACACCTGTGCAAGACTGGAGGGGAGGAGCCGGTACCCCTGTGCAAGACTGGAGGGGAGGAGCCGGGACACCTGTGCAAGACTGAAGGGGAGGAGGCAGTACACCTGTGCAAGACTGGAGGGGAGGAGCCGGGACACCCTGTGCAAGACTGAAGGGGAGGAGCCGGTACACCTGTGCAAGACTGAAGGGGAGGAGCCGTTGGACACCTGTGCAAGACTGAAGGGGAGGAGCCGGTACACCTGTGCAAGACTGAAGGATTTAACTCTTTATTATAATCAGGACAGAAGTTTTATTTATAACGGACTAGAAGTGGTTAAAGTTCGATGTATTTTCCTGTTGGATTTGCTACGATTGGTTCTAATAGTTGTGTACTGCACTATGGTGTATGTCGGTGTCACGGTATATGACGGTATATTGTCTCTCCTGTCAGAATATAGTGGCCGTGGGCGCCGGGTTTTGTGACGGTCTGGACTTCGGTGACAACACAAAGGCCGCTGTGATCCGCCTCGGTCTGATGGAAATGGTGGCATTCGCTCGCCTCTTCTGCGCCGGCGCCGTGTCCACCAGCACCTTCCTGGAGAGCTGCGGCGTGGCCGACCTCATCACCACCTGTTACGGCGGACGGAACCGCAGGGTGGCGGAAGCCTTCGCCAGGTCCGGTAAAGTGAGTGCCGAGATTTCTGAGCGGGTTTTGGGTGCCGGATACGGATTGTGGCGTCAGTGGCGTAACGCAGATTCTATTGTCTTTTCAGTCCATCGAGGAGCTGGAGAGAGACATGCTGAATGGACAGAAGCTCCAGGGCCCGCCGGCCTCCGCCGAGGTGTACAAGATCCTCCAACAGAAGGACGCCGTGCAAAAGTAAGAGAGCAACAGATCCCTATCATGTGTCGTCTGTCACTGCGGTCCTTACAGGGACTTTCCACATAGGAAGCAGGAAGGCAGCCATTGCTGACCACTGAGAAATGCAGAGGGGTGGGCTGTCATGCTGAGCCAACGGCTTCATCCCCCACCCAGAACACAAAGACACAGATCAGGAGGTCTCAGGTCACTCTGATCATCATGCAGCGGGAGATAGAGAGATACAAAGTAACATTGTGATAAACATCGATCAGACGGGGGGATGGAGAGATACAAAGTAACATTGTTTATAAACATCGATCAGACGGGAGATGGAGAGATACAAAGTAACATTGTTTATAAACATCGATCAGACGGGAGACAGAGAGATACAAAGTAACATTGTTTATAAACATCGATCAGACGGGGGATAGAGATACAAAGTAACATTGTTTATAAACATCGATCAGACGAGAGATAGAGAGATACAAAGTAACATTGTTTATAAACATCGATCAGACCGGAGATGGAGAGATACAAAGTAACATTGTTTATAAACATCGATCAGACGGGGGATGGAGAGATACAAAGTAACATTGTTTATAAACATCGATCAGACGGGAGATGGAGAGATACAAAGTAACATTGTTTATAAACAACACATCGATCAGACGGGGGATAGAGAGATACAAAGTAACATTGTTTATAAACATCGATCAGACGGGAGATAGAGAGATACAAAGTAACATTGTTTATAAACATCGATCAGACGGGAGATAGAGAGATACAAAGTAACATTGTTTATAAACATCGATCAGACGGGAGATGGAGAGATACAAAGTAACATTGTTTATAAACATCGATCAGACGGGAGATGGAGGGATACAAAGTAACATTGTTTATAAACATCGATCAGACGGGAGATAGAGATACAAAGTAACATTGTTTATAAACATCGATCAGACGAGAGATAGAGAGATACAAAGTAACATTGTTTATAAACATCGATCAGACCGGAGATGGAGAGATACAAAGTAACATTGTTTATAAACATCGATCAGACGGGAGATGGAGAGATACAAAGTAACATTGTTTATAAACATCGATCGATCGGGAGACGGTAACATTGTTTTAGATGGGAGAATAGAGATACAAAGTAACATTGTTTATAAACATCGATCAGAAGGGGGGATAGAGAGATACAAAGTAACATTGTTTATAAACATCGATCAGACGGGAGATAGAGAGATACAAAAGTAACATTGTTTATAAACATCGATCAGACGGGGGATAGATAGATACAAAGTAACATTGTTTATAAACATCGATCAGACGGGGGAGATGGAGAGATACAAAGTAACATTGTTTATAAACATTGATCAGACGGGAGATGGAGGGATACAAAGTAACATTGTTTATAAACATCGATCAGACGGGAGATAGAGATACAAAGTAACATTGTTTATAAACATCGATCAGACGGGAGATAGAGAGATACAAAGTAACATTGTTTATAAACATCGATCAGACGGGAGATGGAGGGATACAAAGTAACATTGTTTATAAACATCGATCAGACGGGAGATAGAGATACAAAGTAACATTGTTTATAAACATCGATCAGACGGGAGATAGAGATACAAAGTAACATTGTTTATAAACATCGATCAGACGGGAGATAGAGATACAAAGTAACATTGTTTATAAACATCGATCAGACGGGAGATAGAGAGATACAAAGTAACATTGTTTTAAACATCGATCAGACGGGTCCTCAGCAATGAAACGCTCCCTGACTGACCCCCCCCCCCCCCCCCCCTCTGTGACGGGATTGTACCGGATGTGACCCGTGTCCCTGTCTGCAGGTTCCCCCTGTTTGTGGCCGTGTATCGCATCTGCTATGAAGGTCGCCCCGTCCAGGAATTCATCTCCTGTCTGCAGAACCATCCGGAGCATTACTAGAGCACGGCATTCTGGGTACAACGGGAGCAATATACGCACAAAGGATTCTGGGTAATGACTGTGAGAGAAGCACAAAGGATTCTGGGTAAAGCCTCGCTTCCTTGGCACGATGGTTTCCAGCCGGAGCACTCCTTTATGTTGTCTTTCTGCTTTCTGTGTGATGGAGCCAAAGCCAAACCCCCGCCCTGAGTGACCCCAACACCCCGTCCCTGACCGGGGCGTACAGTGACTGTACAGGACTGCCAGCTCACTACAGCCAAACAGGTGAAAGATGAAATCTGATTGGCTGATGTGGGTAATTGCACTACAGACTGCGAATATTTTGGTCTATAAATGTCTGTGTGTGGGGCAGCAAGACTACAACGGGAAAACAAGACGACTCTAGGGCCAACTCCACCTACTGCCCCTCATCACTAGAGATTTCTGTGTGTCTCTGCCCCTCCCACAATGGGGAGATTCCCCCCAGTAGTTTGTGTGTTTGCCCCTCCCACAATGGGGAGATTTCCCTCCAGTGGTTGGTGTCTCCTGCTCCTCCCACAATGGGGAGATTCCCCCCAGTAGTTTTTTGTCTCTTCCCCTCCAGTAGTTGGGTGTCCTCTGCCCCTCCCACAATGGGGGGATTTCCCTGCAGTAGTTGGTGTCTCTGCCCCTCCCACAATGGGGGGATTTCCCCCAGTAGTTGGTGTCTCTGCCCCTCCCACAATGTGAGATTTCCCCCCCAGTAGTTGGTGTCTCTGCCCCTCCCACAATGGGGGATTTCCCCCAGTAGT